CCGCCAGCCTGTCTGAGCCATAAGACATTTGGGACATGAGTCTGTCCAGGATTTTGGGGGGCAGCAGGGCAGGTCTGCTGGCTACAAGCCCCATGGAGCAGTGTCTCCTCCTGAACACACTTTGACTTGGCTCTTGCTTTTTTTGGGGGTTTCTGGCCTCTTTGGTGGCTTTTTGGACCTGTCCCCAATCAGGAGGTCTGCATGGGCTTGATTCACCCCGTATTTGTTTGCCAGCCCGTTTCCAGCCACACAGGGCTCCCCAGAGATGCTTCGTTCCCCCTGCACGCCCCAAGGACCGGAGTGGTTGCGGGAGGCAGGCACGGATGCTGCGGCTGGATCAAGAGCTGAACATGGCTCCTGCCAGGAAGGAGGGCACACCTTGGCTCCTGGGTTTCTCACACGCTCGTAAACTGTCATTTTTAGCAAGACAAGTCATTTAAGGCCCAGCTTTCTCCCTCCCTGAGGAGGTGGGAAAGGTCTCCGGTTATAATCCACCCCTGCCAGCATGGCAAACCCTACTGTTATCCTCCCAGTTATTTTAGATGGGTTTTATTTAGAGGCCTGTACTAAAAAGAGGGAACTGCATGCCAGGGTTTTCCCCGTGTGGAGCAGGTGATTTCTTTCCCCCCTCAGCTCAGGTGTGGGCAGGGTGGAGTTTGCTACAGCTGCTTCCTTATACAAAGGGCAGATTGAGGGCCAAGTTGCCCCTAAGGAAGGGATGTGGGAAGTACCAGAGTGGTTGGTATGGTGCCTTCCTTGTCCTGGGAGAGGTAAAAAAAGCTGCCCCTGCAGTTTACTTCATTTTTTGTGTCTTAAACAGACCAGTTTAATGTTATGAAGGACTTTGCTCTTTTAAAAGTTTGACTGGAGATGTGGTGGGGCAGAAGCCCTGGGCTCAGCATGGCTTCTCTGTGTCCCTTGGTGCTGTGTAGAAGGGCTGGGCCAGCCCCAGTGCTGAGGTGTGCGGAGCAGAGTCATGCTGGGCACATCCACCCCCTCGGCACTGTTACTGGCCCCTTCCTGAGCTGGGGGTGCAGCTGGGGCTGCCCAGGACAGCAGATCCCGCCCCCTTAGACTGTGGCCCTGAGGAGCCCAGGCCATCCTGGGGTGAACATGTGAGCTCCCAAAGTGCCGGTGGGATGATGAATACAAAGACTGAAAGCTAACATTGGATGTAGATATTATCTGGTACAATCTGAGATATAACAGTAGATGTGAGAAGCAGGCTACTTTAGAGTCATTAATTATTCTGCAATAATTATTCAGCAGTCTTGGAGCTGCTCAGCTAAAGCAACTGCAGTTATTACCAAGAGGTATTTTCTTAAGGTGAAATGCCCTCTTGGGAGGAGATGGCCTTTAAATGTGTTGGTACCTGTCTGAGCCTCTGCTGTCACCTGTTGGTGGTCAGGCTGGGGTTTGGGTGTTGTGACATTGAGTTGGTGTTGGTGGAGCTTGAGTTTGCTCAGAATTGCCTGGAGAGGCTCAGCCCTGGGGGACCCCAGGCACCAGCAGTGGTCTGAGGGTAGGCGTGGCACTGGCTGGAGCCATTTTTGAGCAAAATCATCACTCTGTGGTGGGGCCTCAGTCTGGCAGAGTGCTTAAAGCTGGTGTTTGGATGCCTTCACATAGGCAAGGGCTTTGCTGACTCAGGAGGTGATGGGAAGCTTATTTGGGAAAGAAGTGAGAAGGACTGATGGATTAGGAAATATACACCTGATATTGACTGGGATATGGTTGCATTCAATGTATTTGTTCAGAACAGGCAGTGAAGGCGACTGTTCTGCTTTCCCTCTGGGGCTGTACTGGTGTGACACTGGTATGGGTGTTGTTACCCTGAGCACGATAAGAATCATGGTGATTAGACTGAGTAAGGTGGTGCACATCTGACAAGAAGCAATGAACAGGCTGAGACAGGATCATTCCTCTTGTATTTATGATTTATTTGACTATATCTGCATTAGCATAAGCTTTTAAAAATAGAGAGAAAAAAATATTGCCTATGGCTATCACCAGGTCCAAGAGCTGTGGTGCCAGCACCGTGCTGTGGTCCTCGCTGGTGGATCCTCTGGGGAAGGGGACCACAGCTCGCAGGCACCTCTCAATGGAAGGCACTGAACGCCTTCCTACGAGCATCAGGGGCTGGAAAAGTACTGAGATGAGGCTCAACCTACAACGAAAGGAGCAGATAGACGATTGGTTACAGCCAGCAGCAGGCCAAGGAAAATAGGCTGTAGCACAAACAGGGAAGAGACTGCAGATGAGAGCAAGGGGTTTTGCCTGTTTGGGAGTCATTGCTCCAGCTGAAGTTAAACACTTTAACCTGCTCAAAATGAGAACTAGTTCTCCAAGTGACTTCAGGAGATTAGTATTCTGCTCTATTAACAAGATTCTGTAGTCTTGCTATGGTGCGTTGGTTGTCTGACATTTTCAAATGCTGGCATGCCTTAAGGTGGACCTTTAAAAAAAATAAGACTTATTTTGTACAACACAGGCTTTGAGTGCTTCCCTGAGGGGCCAGGGTGGGCTCAGGGCTCCCAGGGGTCAGGGACTCTTGCATGAGCTGCCCAAGAAACATCCAAGCAGCCTTTCCCCAGGAATCACCTCTGAGGTGTGGGGAGGGGGTGAAAAAAAAGTCCATGACAAAGGGGAAGTCATCTGGGGAAGAAACATCCCAGGGCCCTTTGGGGTGGGTGGTGGGGTTTCACATCCAGCTGCCTGCAGCAAACCCACACAGCAGATGCAGAATTCCTGAGCTGTGTAAGTGCCTTATGGAGTGGGTTTACCATGGGGGCCATGGGTTTACCTGCCCCAAGACAATTCCTTGTGCCGTACATCTGCCTTGTGTGGATGTGCCGAGCTGCCTCCCCCATCCCTCACCCTGCTCAGCCTGGCTGGATGTCAGGTTTTGCATATGTAAAAATACACAGCAGTCTTTGCCCTGAAAAGCTTGCTAGTGATCTCATTAATCAAGACAAACAAAGCGTATTTAGCTATTCCCCCTCCCTGGAGGAAGGCATTCAGGTACTTAAATATGCATTTGAGTGCCTAACTTCAGACAGTTGTTTCTGGATGGTTTTGCTTTCTGACAAGTATCAGCAGTGACATAACCCCTCTCCAGGAGGGAAAGGTGGGAGAGGCAGAGCCAAGGGCTGCTGGAGTGGGTGGGCAGCCCCTGGGAGCTGGTAGGGACACCCCCCAGCTGGGCCAGCTCCAGCCTCCCATTAAAAAGGTAGCTTTTCCCTCGGAGCTGGGATTGTTAGAAAAATCCAGTGCCTGCAGGTAAGGACAGCTGAGCTGCTTCTCTTGAATGTCTCTGCCCTCCCCATCGTGTTCCCTGCCCAGCAGTGCTGGGAACTGGGCGGGGAAATGTCTGCCTGGGACTGGGTTGAAGCTGCAGGGGAGGAAACAGCAGTTTGTTCACTCCAGCCTTGGTGCAAAGCTCCCAGGTGAGAAATGTCACACTGAGCCACAGCCAGCAGTAATTAAAGTTAGCAGGGCCTTGACAAAGTTGTGAGGGATGCCAGCTTCTGCCGTCAGTGTGAGTAAGTGGGAAGCACCAGGTGTAGGACAAGGGACAAGCGCTGTTTTAAAAAATGAGAAACCCTCCCATAATGAGGGACAGTTGAGAAGTATGGATTAGTCCCAGGCCAGTAATTAGAGTCAAGATAAGGGTGTCCTTGGGTCAAAGGTCTTATTATGATAGAGACTGGTGTTGAGAAGCCAATGCCAGTGGTGAATCCTCATCTCTGATTCTTCTAATTCATATTGTAAATGATGAACCCAAAGGTGTTTCCTCTAGAGACAGCGGATGATCTTTACCATTACTCTGGTGTAGCTGTGGGCTGTTACGCCAGGATTTTGCCTGAACTGTGGATTTGGAGCATTGGCTGTAGCAGGACAGGAATACTGTTTGTAGGCATGAGCTTGGTGGTTTTCTCTGCAGGGATGGTAGAGCTGTGGTGGTTTTCATCTGCTGATTAGAAACGATGTTTTGCTGCTGTTCTTTGCATTTGTTAATGGTAGAGCGTGGTGGTTTTCATCTGCTGATTAGAAACAATGTTTTGCTGCTGTTCTTTGCATTTGTTATGGACAAATGAAAACCTGCAGGACCCAGCTGGGATGCTGTCATGCTTGCTTTAAAGAATTAGAAGGGCAATGAAAAAGCCTTATCACTCCTAAAATTTAAATATGTATTTGGGGGTTATTTTCATTTGGGTTTCTCTGTTATGATAATTTTTAAATTGGAGGGCTGTAAATGATCACTTGTCAAGCTTTAATACAGCCACATGCATGTTGCAAGCAGAAGCATGTTGATGGAAGGCTGATAAATTACGTGTGAGACGCAGGAAGGCTAAGCTGGTACTGGGAAGGCAGAGCTGAGCAGGTACAGGCTGACAGAGCTCCCCGACAGCAGCAGAGCACAGAGACACCGGTGTTTTGTGGGTGCTGTTGGTGTTGGGCTCATTGACATTGCAGCACCAGGCCCTCCTCCTGCCCCGGGGGGGACCCACACATGGCTGCGGGGAGATGCGGCCGTGCCCACTCCTCCTGCCTGCTCAGAGGCAGCTTCCCAGCCTCGTGCAATTTTTCGTTTTAACAACAAAGCCGCCCCTAGACTCAACCTAGTTTTTCCTGTTTTGTGGGTGCTGTTGGTGTTGGGCTCATTGACATTGCAGCACCAGGCCCTCCTCCTGCCCCGGGGGGGACCCACACATGGCTGCGGGGAGATGCGGCCGTGCCCACTCCTCCTGCCTGCTCAGAGGCAGCTTCCCAGCCTCGTGCAATTTTTCGTTTTAACAACAAAGCCGCCCCTAGACTCAACCTAGTTTTTCCATCATCCATTTGATCGAATCCTTTTAGCGTGTGACAAAACACTTTCTTGAGCTCTCTTTACAGGAAACCAATCTCTGTTCCTTTTTCAAAACCTCCCTCATTTACAGGAGTCTAACAAATCCTGGGCCTTTTAAATCCTCTCCTGTTTGTTTTGTTTGTGTTTTTTTTGTGTATGTGGGTTTTTTTTCCCCAAAACCAACAGTGCCATGTTTGTAGATTTTTTTTTTTCCTGGGGTGGAGGGAATAAAATCCACAATATGGGAGCAAGGTCGGGTGTACAGACTGATGCACGCCGCGCCGAGCATCCCCGTACAGACAAAACCCACGCGCACGCACATCGAGATGCAAATGATTTCCGTGAAGCTATCACTTGTAAAGCTTGACAGAAAATAATGAGAAACACTAAATCTTTTATAAGGTCAACACTCAAGCAGCTGTCAAACAAGAAAAGAATTTAGCGAAAGATCCGCAAAAAACTTCCATCGCCTCATTAAATCCAACAGGGCCGGGGCCCGGCGTGGTGAGGAGGCACCGGGGCGCCTCCGTTTTGTGTCAGTAATTTGCGGCGGAGGAAGAGGGAAGACGAAACAGCCAGTGCCAAAGGGGCCTTGGGGGAGGCTGGGGAATCGTTAGTGCGCCAGGAGCGGCCTCGGCTCCTAATTGGAAGCATTGGGCATTATCAACGGAGGATTTGCCTCGGCTCCCTGACAGCTCTCTAGGCCTGGAATGATAGCCCACTTGTCAGTGTAAAAGACCATTAAAAACAAACCATTTTGATTTAATTGGAGGCGGTGCGCTGGGGGCCCAGGTGAGGCGCTTCATCAGCCGTGGCTGCTGATGCCTTTTTCCCCCTGTATTGATGGCTTTTTTTTTTTTTTTCCTCCCCTCCCTTTCAAAAACTGTCTAGGAAAGAGAAAGAGGTGCTGAAAGATCCTTCACAGCTGCATCCAGAGTGGCTTTCAATAGGGTTGTCAACAAATGCCATGACAAGTTAGAGAGAGGCAGGTATTTTTAAAACAGACGTTATTCTGTCCAAGATGAGCTGCACTCAGAGGCGTGTGTTGGATTATTAGGGTTACAAATACTGTGGCTTTTTCTGGCAGTAGTGCATTTAACCGGTTTAATGAATGGGCTTGATTTTTCCCTTCCCACCTTTCTAATTCTAAGAATGTAGGGA